TATGCAACAATGATGGGCACTGACTGGCGGCACTCATGGGCAGCACTGATGGGCACAGGTGGGTGGCACTGATGGGCACAGGTGGGTGGCACTACTAGGCACTGATGGGCGGCACTGCTGGGCACTGATCATCGGTGCCAATCCATCCTCTGACAATTGCTGGTTATCAGCGTTAGTTTAGTTAGGAAAGTGCATCAGATAACCGGCAACTGCATTTACTGGTGATCTGCTGTGTGATTGGACACAGCTGATCACATGGTTAAAAGGCCGCCGTGATTGGCCTTTTACCACAGCTGTAGGATCAAGGTTGAGGATTGGGGTATTGGCCAAAATAGCCCTCCTTTTCCCTTGAATTATGTACTCCCTCGGCCTCAGAGATTCTGCTCTCCCCTGGCTCTCACCCTACCTGTCACAACGCTCTTTCAGCGTTACCTACAGCGCTACCACCTCCCCCCTCACTCCCCCTCTCTGTTGGGGTCCCCCAAGGCTCTGTCCTCGGGCCCCTTCTCTTCTCCATCTATACCTCTTCCCTTGGCCCGCCCAACTGATACAATCTCACGGCTTCAACTACCACCTCTATGCCGACGACACACAAATCTATCTCTCAACCCCCCACCTCACCCCCTCGGTCTCCGCCCGAATCACACACCTACTGAGCGACATATCAGACTGGATGTCACTCCACTTCCTTAAACTGAACCTCTCCAAAACCGAGTTTCTTGTTTCCCCCCAGCCCGCACACCACCCCCCATTGACCTCTCCATCACATCCAACAACGCCAATATCAAACCGCCCTGCAGGCCAGAGTACTGGGTGTCATTCTGGACTCCAACCTATCCTTCCAGCCCCAAGTCCAATCTTTAACAAACTCGTGCAGACTCCACCTCCGCAACATCGCCAAAATCCGCACGTTCCTAACCCCAGAAACCACTAAACAGCTCATCCACTCCCTCATCATATCACGAACTCAACTACTGCAACTCCCTCCTCACTGGCCTGCCTCGCCGCTGGCTATCCCCGCTTCAGTCCATCCTGAATACGGCTGCCAGACTCATTCACCTTTCCAACCGCTCCGTCTCCGCCACCCCCTCTGTCAATCCTCCACTGGCTTCCGATTGCGCAACGGATCAAATTCAAAATCCTAACACTGACGTACAAAGCTGTCCACCATACTGCCCCGAACTACATCACTGACCTAATATCCAAGTACCGTCCAGCACATACACTCCGCTCCTCACAAGACCTCCTTCTCTCTAGTTCCCTGGTCTCCTCCTCCCATGCCCGCCTCCAGGACTTCTCCAGGGTGTCACCCATCCTCTGGAACTCCCTGCCCCAACCCATCAAATTATCACCTACTCTCCTCTCTTTTAGGCGCACCCTGAAAACCCATCTCTTCAGGGAAGCCTACCCCACCCCCTGCTAATTTCAGACCTCCTCCACTCTTCCTACCACCCCATCCCCCACAGCTATCTCCTCCTGTGCCACCATCCCCTCCCTCCTAGATTGTAAGCTCCAAGGAGCAGGGCCCTCGTGTATCGCATTGTAATGTTATTGTTCTGTCGCATGTATTGTCTCCCATTGTAATGTACAGCGCTGAGCGAACTGTTGGCGCTTTATAAATATATATATATATATATATATAAATCCTGTATAATAATAAATATATAAATCCTGTATAACAATAATAATAATATTTTTTATATACAGGTGTTTATAGGGAGCTTGCTTATTTCCATTTGTCCACAAGATGGGGCTATAAAAGAGATCTCCCATCTAGAAGTGTAAAAATGTATTTCACAGATGAGGGAAGGATTTCACCACTAGATGGTGCTATACATAGAATAGGCTTTTTATTTATTAACCCCTCACCGTCCAGAGGATTTCCCCCTTCCTGACCAGGCCATTTTTTGCGATAAGGCACTGCGTTAGTTTAACTTTCAATTGCGCGGTCATGCAACATTGCACCCAAATAAAATGTATGTACTTTTATCCCCCAGAAATAGAGCTTTCTTTTGGTGGTATTTGATCACCTGTGCGGTTTTTATTGTTCACGCTATAAATACAAAAAGACCGACAATTTTGAGAAAAAAATATATATATTTTTGACTTTTTGCTATTAAACATGTCCAGTAAAAAAAATAATTTAACAATCAAATTCCTTCATAAATTTAGGCCAAAATGTATTCTGCGACATGTCTTTGCTAAAAAGAAAATCCCAATATGTGTAAATTAATTGGTTTATGTGAAAGTTTTAACTTTTACAAATGGCGGTATAGATACTGGACTTTTTTTTTTTTTTTTACTAGCAATGACGGCGATCAGCGACTTATAGTGGGATTGCGGCGGGCATTCTGACACTGGGGGAGAACTGATTTGGTGGCACTGACATCCCCAGTGACACCAATACAGTGATCAGTGCTAATAAAAAGCCTGACACTGTACTAATGGCACTGGGCAGGAAGGGGTTAACATGTGGGGGGGATCAAGTTAAATTATTACATAAAACATTATCGTCTTACATTATTGCCACTGATAGATATCCAGTATCTCCCAGAAGTGAGTCCACCCCTCACATTTCTGTAAATATTTGATTCTCTCTTTTCATGTGACAACACTGAAGAAATGACACTTTGCTACAATGTGACGTAGTCAGTGTACAGTTTGTATAACATGGAAATTTGCTGTCCCCTCAAAATAACTCAACACACCGCCATTAATGTCTAAACCGCTGGCAACAAAAGTGAGTCCACCCCTAAGTCACAAGGTCCAGAGAATTCTTTGCCATGAGGTGCCATGTTGAACTTCCAGTGACCAGTATGAGAGAGTGAGAGCGATAACACCAACAGTGAGTCCACCCCTAAGTGACAAGATCCAAATTGGGCCCAATGAGCCATTTTCCCTCCCTGGTGTCATGTGACTCGTTAGTGTTACAAGGTCTCAGGTGTGAATGTAGAGCAGGTGGGTTACATTTGGTGTTATCACTCTCACTCTCTCATACTGGTCACTGGAAGTTCAACATGGCACCTCATGGCAAAGAATTCTCTGGACCTTGTCACTTAGCGGTGGACTCACTTTTGTTGCCAGCGGTTTAGACATTAATGGCGGTGTGTTGAGTTATTTTGAGGGGACAGCAAATTTACATGTTATACAAGCTGTACACTGACTACGTCACATTGTAGCAAAGTGTCATTTCTTCAGTGTTGTCACATGAAAAGAGAGAATCAAATATTTACAGAAATGTGAGGGGTGGACTCACTTCTGGGAGATATTGTACCTTGTTTTAGACCAGTTTTGTCATCACTGGGTCCCTGAGCTTTTCTATGCAATGCAGACAAATAATGGCTGGTGGGAGGAGATAGCAGGATGCTTTAGATCCCCGAAAACATCCCAGCACCCTAACCCAGTGATGCAAGCATTTGGGTGGCTCTGGGAATGAGTTATACACATATCAAAATGCCTTGATGGGTGGATGATATTTGTATACAGACCACCCTAGGCAATATCCACACGTGACGCTGAGCCTCCGTGACTGAAAGATCTGAAATCCACTGAAGGAAAGGGGAGGGCCAAGAATAGTCAGGCTGGGAAGGAAAGGCTAGATGATGCTGAATGTCCCACAGCCAGGAGCGGGCTCTATGTCTCTTGCTGCAGTTTCCAATGTACACTGTGAGAAGTTCATAGTGTGCAGTGAAAGCAGAACAAACAATTCCAGTACAGGAGAGGAGCCTCTACAACGTTTCAAGAAGTGACGGCTGGAGTTCAGCCTGGTGTAGATGGACAACACTCAACATCTTGTAGATTGAGCGGTGTCAGCCCTGCCCGGCTGCCATTTACTAAGGAACCTGTTGTAGTCCCAAGATAAGAACTAGAAGGGGGCTGATTAGTCTCTGCGATAACACAAGAACTATGCACAGGTTAGTTCTGAATTTGTAACCCAAACAACACGTATTATTCTGCATTATTGAGAGATAACAGAATGCGTTTAAAAAGTGTTACTAAACCCACAACAGTACAATCAGTCTGTAGATGCAGGAAAGCATGCTTGTTATACTCACTGCGGAACCTAAGGGGTTAATCCTCTGCATTGTGTAAAATGGCTGATTGATCCCTTCTTCTCTGATCCTCCTCTTACTTAAATGTCCACACTGATAAAACAGACTGAACCCGTAGCCATTCTGAACATGCTCGGTTTAGTGCGTATTACTAGAGAGGTTTTTTTTTTCTTGGGAGAGCGCATGTGAACAGCACAGGGCCAATCAGCACTGTCCAGACAGAGGTCAGGGGTCCTGCATACATCTAGAGCAGAAAAAAATCTCCTCCTACAAGCTTTAACCAGTGCTTGGGTGAAGTCACAAGACTGCTCTAACTGCTGATGATAAAAAGGTATTTAGCAGTTTAAATTTACTAAAATAATTGCATTTCCATGTTGTGTGTATTGTGGGAGACCAGATATAGTGAATGCAGGGTCCGGGGAGAGCGGATATAGTGAACGCAGGGTCCGGGGAGAGCGGATATAGTGAACGCAGGGTCCGGGGAGACCAGATATAGTAAACGCAGGGTCCGGGGAGACCAGATATAGTAAATGCAGGGTCCGGGGAGACCGGATATAGTGAATGCGGGGTCCGGGGAGAGCGGATATAGTGAATGCAGGGTTCGGGGAGAGCGGATATAGTGAATGCGGGGTCCGGGGAGACCGGATATAGTGAATGCAGGGTCCGGGGAGACCAGATATCGTGAATGCAGGGTCCGGGGAGACCAGATATAGTGAATGCAGGGTCCGGGGAGACCAGATATAGTGAATGCAGGGTCCGGGGAGACCAGATATAGTGAATGCAGGGTCCAGGGGAGACCTGATATAGTGAATGCAGGGTCTGGGGAGACCAGATATAGTGAATGCAGGGTCCGGGGAGACCAGATATAGTGAATGCAGGGTCCAGGGGAGACCAGATATAGTGAATGCAGGGTCCGGGGGAGACCAGATATAGTGAATGCAGGGTCCGGGGAGACCAGATATAGTGAATGCAGGGTCCGGGGAGACCAGATATAGTGAATGCAGGGTCCGGGAGACCAGATATAGTGAATGCAGGGTCTGGGGAGACCAGATATAGTGAATGCGGGGTCCAGGGGAGACCGGATATAGTGAATGCGGGGTCCGAGGAGACCAGATATAGTGAATGCAGGGTCCGGGGAGACCGGATATAGTGAATGCAGGGTCCGGGAAGAGCGGATATAGTGAATGCAGGGTCCCGATATAGTGAATGCAGGGTCCAGATATAGTGAATGCGGGGTCCGGGGAGCCCAGATATAGTGAATGCAGGGTCCTGGGGAGACCAGATATAGTGAATGCAGGGTCCGGGGAGACCAGATATAGTGAATGCGGGGTCCGGGGAGACCAGATATAGTGAATGCGGGGTCCGGGGAGACCAGATATAGTGAATGCGGGGTCCAGGGACAGCGGATATAGTGAATGCAGGGTCCAGGGACAGCGGATATAGTGAATGCAGGGTCCAGGGACAGGGGTGTATTAACACTTTAAGGGTTTGTTTTAAAAGATCAAAAAGAAGAGTAGCCAATTGTTAGGCTTTACATACACTTCAAAAACCAACAAAGCTTACGTAGGCAGTCCTGGCTTTGGGTTTGTTGGTAATCGTTACCCAAAATATTATCATCAATTGGTAATCCAGTACTATTTTAATTGCTGATCCTATTATAACCCTTCAATGTGGCTGCAACTAGAATGTTTGTGTTGTGATCATCGTGGAAGTCAGACTTACCATTTCTTGGATTTCAGTTTTGGAGGTGGATTTCTGGGGATGAGGAACAAGGCCCGCATCGGGTGCATGTCACACAGGGCTAGAGGAGGAGAAAGCAAAAAATAAAATATAAAAGTAAGACAAAGCTGTCCAAACTATAGGCAAGGTGTAAATCCCATACACTGTAATAATAATAGTATGGATTGCACAGTCTAACAGGTTTCCTGTCTCTCCTCAGTGTGCCGAAGAGGACATTTACGGCAGGCTCGGCTCGTACAGGCACAATCACATACATACCTCCCAGAAGTGAGTCCGCCCCTCACATTTTTGTAAATATTTTATTCTTTTCATGTGACAACACTGAAGAAATGACACTTTGCTACAATGTGACGTAGTCAGTGTTCAGTTTGTATAACATGGAAATTTGCTGTCCCCTCAAAATAACTCAACACACCGCCATTAATGTCTAAACCGCGGCAACAAAAGTGAGTCCACCCCTAAGTGACAAGGTCCAAATTGGGCCCAGTTAGCCATTTTCCCTCCCCGGTGTCATGTGACTCCTTAGTGTTACAAGGTCTCAGGTGTGAATGGGGAGCAGGTGGGTTACATTTGGGGTTATCGCTCTCAGTCTCTCATACTGGTCACTGGAAGTTTAACATGACACCTCATGGCAAAGAACTCTCTGAGGATCTGAAAAAAAGAATTGTTGCTCTACATAAAGATGGCCTAGGCTATAAGAAGATTGGCAAGACCCTGAACCTGAGCTGCAGCACGGTGGCCAAGCCCATACAGCGGTTTAACAGGAGAGGTTCCACTCAGAACAGGCTCGCCATGGTCGACCCAAGAAGTTGAGTGCACGTGCTCAGCGTCATATCCAGAGGTGGTCTTTGGGAAATAGACATATGAGTGCTGCCAGCATTGCCGCAGAGGTTGAAGGGGTCGGGGGGTCAGCCTGTCAGTGCTCAGACCATACGCCGCACACTGCATCAAATTGGTCTGCATGGCTGTCGTCCCAGAAGGAGGCCTTTCTTCTAAAGATGATGACCAAGAAAGTCCGCAAACAGTTTGCTGAAGACAAGAAGACTAAGGACACGGATTACTGGAACCATGTCCTGTGGTCTGATGACACCAAGATGAACTAATTTGGTTCAGATGGTGTCAAGCGTGTGGCGGCAACCAGGTGAGGAGTACAAAGACAAGTGTGTCTTGCCTACAGTCAAGCATGGTGGTGGGAGTGTCATGGTCTGGGTGCTGCCAGCACTGGGGAGCTACAGTTCATTGAGGGAACCATAAATGCCAACATGTACTGTGACATACTGAAGCAGAGCATGATCCCCTCCCTTCCGAGACTGGGCCACAGGGCAGTATTCCAACATAACGACCCCAAACACACCTCCAAGACCACCACTGCCTTGCTAAAGAAGCTGAGGTAAAGGTGATGGACTGGCCAAGCATGTCTCCAGACCTAAACCCTATTGAGCATCTGTGGGGCATCCTCAAACGGAAGGTGGAGGAGCGCAAGGTCTCTAACATCCACCAGCTCCGTGATGACGTCATGGAGGAGTGGAAGAGGACTCCAGTGGCAACCTGTGAAGCTCTGGTGACCTCCATGCCCAAGAGGGTTAAGGCAGTGCTGGAAAATAATGGTGGTCACACAAAATATACACTTTGGGCCCAATTTGGACCTTGTCACTTAGGGGTGGACTCACTTTTGTTGCCAGCGGTTTAGACATTAATGGCTGTGTGTTGAGTTATTTTGAGGGGGCAGCAAATTTACATGTTATACAAGCTGTACACTGACTACGTCACATTGTAGCAAAGTGTAATTTCTTCAGTGTTGTCACATGAAAAGAGAGAATCAAATATTTACAAAAATGTGAGGGGCGGACTCCCTTCTGGGAGATACTGTACATGTACGTCGCAGCTTTCTTTTGAGTCCACTCATGCATGTGCATGCAGACCCAGAAGATTGTGCTTACATTCGCTGCAGCGCACACGGATTAGCTGGTCCTGGCCAATGATTTATGGCTGGGACCCGTTGATCGACTGAGAAAATGACAGAAAAGAGCCCAGTGTTGGTAAACAACACAGGGCTCTACAGACAGCATGGATGTGCCAGTTTTTTTTCTAAAAACAGCACACAGTACACACTAAACATTGTTAGGCACACATTTAACCCCCTTGATCACTCTAGATCAGTGGTCTCCAAACTGCGGCCTGGGGGCCAGATGTGGCCCTTTGCTTGCCTTTATCCAGCCCTCGGGGCACTTTTCCTTCCACTGATACAGAACACTATTCCTTTCCTCCCATCAACAATGAGGCATAATTACTGCTACTGACGTCAACAATGAGGCACTATTTCCCCACTGACACCAATAATGGGGCACTATTCCTGCCACTGACAGCAACAATAGGACTCTATTCCTCCCACTGACACCAATGATGGGACACTATTCCTCCCACTGATACCAATGATGGGGCACTATTCCTCCCACTGACACCAATGATGGGGCACTATTCCTCCCACTGACACCAATGATGGGACATTATTCCTCCCACTGATACCAATGATGGGGCACTATTCCTCCCACTGACACCAATGATGGAGCACTATTCCTCCCACTGATACCAATGATGGGGCACTATTCCTCCCACTGATACCAATGATGGGGCACTATTCCTCCCACTGACACCAATGATGGGGCACTATTCCTCCCACTGATACCAATGATGGAACACTATTCCCCCCACTGATACCAATGATGGGGCACTATTCCTCCCACTGATACCAATGATGGGGCACTATTCCTCCCACTGACACCAATGATGGGGCACTATTCCTCCCACTGACACCAATGATGGGGTACTATTCCTACCACTGACACCAATGATGGGGCACTATTCCTCCCACTGACACCAATGATGGGGCACTATTCCTCCCACTGATACCAATGATAGGGCACTATTCCTCCCACTGATACCAATGATAGGGCACTATTCCTCCCACTGATACCAATGATGGGGCACTATTCGTCCCGCTGACACCAATGATGGGGCACTATTCCTCCCACTGACACAATGATGGGGCACTATTCCTCCCACTGATACCAATGATGGGGCACTATTCCTCCCACTGATACTAATGATGGGGCACTATTCCTCCCACTGATACCAATGATGGGGCACTATTCCTCCCCACTGATACTAATGATGGGGCACTATTCCTCCCACTGACACCAATGATGGGGCACTATTCCTCCCACTGACACCAATGATGGGGCACCCTTCCCTCTACCAACACCAATAGTGGGGTACTATTTCTCCAACTGACACAACTGGGCACTATTCCTCCTGACACCAACAGTTGGGCACTATACCCCCACTTACAAAAATGAAGGGGTGCTATTCTTCCCTCTAATACCAAAGATGTGTTGTTTACTCCCACTGATGCTGGGACAATTTCAACTCCCACTGGCCACAGTCCGGCCCCCCCAAAAGTCTGATGAACAGTAAACTGGCCCTATGTTTAGAAAGTTTGGAGACCCCTGCTCTAGATGTTAACCTCTTCCCAGTCAATATCATTATTACTGTGGAAAAGTGTATAACATTATCACCGATCACTATATTAAGTGTCACTGGAAATATCAGCGGCAGTTAGTTCCCCCAGTGTCAGATTGCCCGCCGCATTATCACAGCCGCTGATCACTGCCATTACTTGTATAAGAAATAATTAAATAAAAATTCCAGTATACATCCCTTAGTTTGTAGACGCTAAAACTGTCACACAAACCAATCAATATACACTTACAGGATTTTTTTTTTTTTTTTTACCAAAGACATGTAGCAGAATACTTTTTCATAAATTTAAGAAGAAAGGTGTCATATATATATATATATATATATACACATACATACACACACACACGCACATACACACATATATATACAGTCAGGTCCATAAATATTGGGACATCGACACAATTCTAACATTTTTGGCTCTATACACCACCACAATGGATTTGAAATGAAACGAACAAGATGTGCTTTAACTGCAGACTGTCAGCTTTAATTTGAGGGTATTTACATCCAAATCAGGTGAACAGTGTAGGTTTTACAACAGTTTGCATATGTGCCTCCCACTTATTAAGGGACCAAAAGTAATGGGACAATTGGCTTCTCAGCTGTTCCATGGCCAGGCGTGTGTTATTCCCTCATTATCTCAATAACAATGAGCAGATAAAAGGTCCAGAGTTCATTTCAAGTGTGCTATTTGCATTTGGAATTTGTTGCTGTCAACTCTCAAGATGAGATCCAAAGAGCTGTCACTATCAGTGAAGCCAGCCATTAGGCTGAAAAAACAAAACAAACCCATCAGAGAGATAGCAAAAACATTAGGTGTGGCCAAAACAACTGTTTGGAACATTCTTAAAAAGAAGGAACGCACCGGTGAGCTCAGCAACATCAAAAGACCCGGAAGACCACGGAAAACAACTGTGGTGGATGACCGAAGAATTCTTTCCCTGGTGAAGAAAAAACACCCTTCACAACAGTTGGCCAGATCAAGAACACTCTCCAGGAGGTAGGTGTATGTGTGTCAAAGTCAACAATCAAATGAAGACCTCACCAGAGTGAATACAGAGGGTTCACCACAAGATGGAAACCATTGGTGAGCCTCAAAAACAGGAAGGCCAGATTAGAGTTTGCCAAAC